GGATTTGTAGGACAGGAAGAGGGTGGGATTAAAAAGGGAGGGGTGAGGATAGGACGATGGTTTTGCTAGGGCCGGGGTTGGGGTAGAAGGGGGTGTTAGAAGAAGAGAGAAGGACAGATGGATAGATGGTGGGAGGTAAAATGGAGGATGGATGGGTTGGCGGGTGGGAACGTGGGTGGAGAGAACAAGACGTAAGGATGGGTGGATTTGGACGAGAGATGTAGAAAAAAGGATGGATGGGTGAGCGGAGGAAGAAGGGAGAATTGATAGTGGGAGAAAGAAGAAAGGATGGAAGGATGGACAGATGGATGGAAGGATGGGTGGGTGAGGGGAGGGTGGAGAGACAGAAGGAAGGATGGACTTTCTTTGGAGAAAGGGGGTAGAGAGGAGAGTGGTTGTAAAGTTGGTGAGGGATAAGCAGTATGACTTGTTCTGCCATCATTAAAAAACCCACTCGCTCGGCGAACACTTATCTTACGCAAACAGACCAATAACCTCGTAGTTCTTCAGTAATTTACATTGGTGCATTATTAGAATTCACCAGACAATACATTACAAAGTCAAATATTCGACAGATAAAAAAGATAGGTGACGTGGGAAAAGAACCCAAAACAAGATTATTGTACTTAATTAAAATTTCAAATGTGAAAAGTGGTTGGTTGGCGGGTTTTTTTGGGTTTTTTCGGGGGGGGGGGTTATATATTATAATGTGTGTGGTTGGCGGGTGCTCTGGTGTGGTTTGCTTCTTCTTTCCAATCAAACGTCTATCGTCCTTATCTCCTCTTTTTCATTTTTTAAATGTTTGTTACTCTCTTGTATTTTTTGTAATATCTCTAATCTTCTGGCGCTCATATGACCGTATGCAGTTGCAAGCGCAGTAAAACCTCTACTAAAACTTTTTTTAAAATATATATTATGAAGACACTGTGTAAAATGGCAACCTGTCTACAACGGACACTTTCCTCCTCGACAGTGGGTGCCTGCCCGTCTTAGCAAATGTTGACATTATACAAGGAAGTATTACACAGAAAGGTGAGGAGCGCAATCCAAAGATGGAAGGCGGAAGCCAAAGAGAGACATTTTGGACCACAGTATCGATTTCCCATCGATAACCGTTTTGGCAGGGTCGTTCTTCCGCATCAAACCACTGGTTAATCACTGGTAGTGTTTTACGGGCAGCGGCGGCTTCGTAAACTAGATGTCATCGTGGTAAAATCAGGCGCTCGTCAAAATAATGAAATCAAAGAAATAAGCATTTTTCTGAACGTTGGCCAATTATTTTTCTAATGTTCTTTTTTTTTTTGCTCAACACCTTTTATATCCATTTTTTTTTTTAAATCATGTGTGAATTTCACTGGAAAAAAAATGATAAAAGGCTAGAAAAAAATGTCAATTCCCAATTTTGAAGGACTGTCAAGCTATGGAAATTACCAAACATCGGCGGCCATTTCCTCGGTAATTGCACCTCTGAAATGAGACGACCCTGATCTCTTTCAACCTCAAATATTTCGACGTCTATTCAACATAGATGAATATTCTTTTCACAAAAGTCAAGGCAAATGAACAGGCTTTAAGATGACTCCAATAACTCTACATGCCTCAAACATTAACGAGTGTCTGATTCCACTGCGTTGTGACACATAATGAGCCCTCACCCAAACACACCCTCTCCCTCCCCTCTCACCATCCCCATCTTTTTCTAAAACTATAAGCCTAATGGGGCGTTCGTGTATGACGTCACTGCGACACACAAGTGGCCCCAGCAGAGGGTGGGGAAGCCTCTTGATCAAGGACAGCGTA